GCTGCCTCACCAGCCTGTTCTCGCTGCTGCTGCCTCACCGGCCTGTTCTCGCTGCTGCTGCCTCACCAGCCTGTTCTCGCTGCCGGCTGCTGCTGCTTCACCAGCCTGTTCTTTCCTCCGCTGCCTCACCGGCCTGTTATCGCTGCTGCTACTTCACCAGCCTGTTCTCGCTGCTGCTGCCTCACCAGCCTGTTATCGCTGCCGGCTGCTGCTGCTGCCTCACCGGCCTGTTCTCGCTGCTGCTGCCTCACCGGCCTGTTCTCGCTGCCGGCTGCTGCTGCTTCACCAGTCTGTTCTTTCCTCCGCTGCCTCACCGGCCCACTCCTTCCACCGCTGCCTCAGCGGCCTGTTCTCATTGCTGATGTCACCTCCAGCCCATGCTTGACCGGCCATTGCTGCAGGACACTGTCCGTGTGTTCAGCTCCTGCCATGCAGTTCTCAGTCGCTACCTGACTCCTCCTTGACTCCTTAGGTAAGTGGTTAAAAGGTCTGGGTGTCAGGGAGATGGAATTACTATAGAGAGGAGAGTGGAATGAGCATAAGAAGAATAAAAAAGAAAGGAAAAGGAAAGGGAACTGGCGAGCAGAGTTGAGCTCCAAATGGAGCAACCTGATCTGCTGCCATATTTACCAAATGAAAACTGTGCTTGCTGATATTTTTCCACTGATTAAGACAATACTTATTTTTGGACAACAAACAATTACTATGCAGACGAAAGCTTTCTCCATAATTGTATATTAATTGAAGTAAATTTCTCCTGAGTAATATCTTCTGTGAAACCTGTTAATACTGTTCAGTCAAACAAATAGTAAACACATCCTGTTTATAGCATTGATTACTAAAATTAGGAAAAGATTTGTGATGTAAATGTGTCCTTTTATCTCTGACTTCTTCCGGGACTCGTTTGTACATTTTAACCAGTAGAAATGTGACACAATGGCTTCTTGAAAATAAAATTAAAATCTTAAAATGTACCCATTAATCTGATATTTTTGTAGGAAGTTAAACAACTCCAACATAAGCCATTCATTAAAGGCATTGCCATCGAATGAAATAAACTGTTTGCTTCCACAGGCTGAACAACATGAAGATGTTATCCAAAAACAGAATGATGAGATTTTGCATTTAAGAGAGCAGATTGATTGCTTAAACAATGAAAATACACAAATTCATAATCAAGCAAAAGCTTTTGAATCTACTACAGACCTGTTCAAGCAGAAATACCAAGCAAACACTGATAGAATCCAAGAGCTGGAGAAACTTGTGCAGAGCTTTGAAGAAGAATCAAAATATTCAAGTAATCAGGTGTGTTGTCTTTTATGAGTAGTTTTCTGTTGTTGCTTCATTGCATATTAATCATATTAATTCTATGTCTAATGTCACAAAAAAATACATAGACTCTTGTTACTTTGCGATCAAATCATTGCAAAATGAGGGAATGTCTATCAGGAACACTTTTTTTTCCTGAATCACATGGGCAATAATCTACAGAGCACATCATTAGCCTATTAAAGAACATTTTCTTATTTCAAATCTCTTTTTTTTTGTAATTGTCAGTTGTAGTACCCTCTCCACCCAAAATCTTATTCACTTATTTTTGCACTGAGATATCATCACTGCTTTTCTTCCTCAGCTACTGCACCGGATGATAACTTATTCTCAGAGATTTTAACCTCAATTTAGCTACATCATGTGCTCAGTCTTCTAAATTCATTGCATTCCTATTCCACGTTGACATCTTCTTGCATGTAAACTCCCCAACTTATATATTAAACATTTTGATGATCTTGTCTCTCTTGTGCTGTCATTATTTCCATTCCATCAATTACATCACTAATCACATTCTTGTATCACTCTCCAATCACACCTTTCCAGGCTCTCACACTCTACTTCCTTCTGTCTTCCCTGGAAAAATATCAGCCATTTACAATGATGTTTCTCGAATTATAGACCCACTCAAACAGACCTCCTTTGATGTCATTGACCCTGTGGAAACCATGACAGTATTTTAGATTGATCGTTCCTGCAGTCGAGCCCTCATCCCCAATCCTTTGACTTCAAGGGACACATACTTGAACTATATACTACCAATTTTGGCTAATAACGTAAAGTGCTATTGGCAGGATCATCAAGGAACAAAAAGATAACAACCAGCTTATTTTCCCTACAGTAAACTGCTTTCTTAAACCCTTATCCCTGCATCCTCCATTTTGATATCCAACAAAAAGACTGAGGTGCTCATGCACTTGCGTGTCATTGTCATTCTGACAATATGATCAGCTGTCATTGCATCTTTGCTTCCTTGTCCTACATCACTGGGCCGAACCTCATCTGAGATGCAGCCTGCCCTATCCCTAAGCCCGTACTGTTTTCTGGTTTCTCTCCGATCTGTCCGCATAGTCTCTGCAAATTCATATGAAACCCATCTCCTCTTCCCTTGACACTATTTATCTAGCATCCATCCCCTAAATTCTCCCTAAAATCTAAACCTCTTTCTCTCTCTCTCTCACTCTCAGCCTCTCATCCTTCAAGGCACTCCTTTAAAACTACCTCTTTATTGCCTTCATACTTAACTGCCCTAGTTAATAAATGCTGGCCTAGCCAGAGATGCCCACATCCTGTGAGTGAATAAGAAAAAAATTCGCCATTTGACCTAATATCTCTGTATGTGGCTCAGTGTCAAATTTTGCTTGATATTGTTCCTGTGAAGTGACTTGGGATGGTTTATTACACTAAAGACACTATAACACGACAAATTGTTGTTGCTGTTTTTTTTAATTCCCAAGAGAATTTTTTGCAGCTTTTGTGAGATAGCATCTGAGGTATTTCTCCAGACTGTGTTATTGATCGTGCCACTGATAGAAGTAGAAACTAGAGGCACTTCGTTATCATGTCAGTTTTTTTCATATGAACCTAGAGTAAGTGTCTTGAGGGTGCATTTACTTTTGTCTGTATAATACTTGTTAGCATTAATTCAATTCTCCCTTAACCTTACTACACATAGCAAAATTGAATTTTCAAAGGAAAAGGGATATGTATGACCTGATGGAATTCATCGCAGTACAAGAAACCTTTTTCCAATCATGTCTATGCTATTATGTTGCAATTGTTTTAATGTGTTAATTTTATTGCTTTCTGTTTAAGAATTAGATTTTTGAACATTGTCCTCCTAATAGGGTCATAGCCAGCACATTTTCACATGCGTTTCACTTTTTAATGAGTCCTATAATTTTGAGTTATTGTGCAGACCTGATGGACAGCAAAATGTAAAATTAGTGGAACTGATTTTCTTGTCTTTAATATGGGCTTGTGTCACTTCACAGGGTGGTATAGACCAGATAAAAAAGATAGAGAAAAACCTTTATTCTTTTCTCACTTGGTATATATTTGCATCAGACAAGTAAAAAGTAAACAATGTGATTGAAATCATAATGCCTCCTGTTTTAATTTTTCCATCATCCTGTCTTTTGTGATTTTAAAGATCCATGTGGTCACCAAGTTTCTGGGTTACTTCTCGATGCGTGGGAATCTAGTGAAGGGGGGACGTGGGAGGGGAGGGTAGTAACATACATTTTGAATTTAAATATTTTGGAAATTTTTTTCAGTAAACTTAAAAGTTTTGTGCTCTACGTGCTAGAAATCAAGGGAATTCTTAGACCACTCCAGCACTCACCTATCATAGGGTATAGATAAGTTAAGTGCCTAAGTGAAAAAGTGGCACAGAATATAATGTGAGAAATATGTTGGTAGGAAGAATCAAAAAGAAACATTGTCTAAATAGTGAGAGATCCGGCTGTCCCACTTGATGAATGACAAAAGGTTAGAATGCTGGACCAACAAATAACTAGGAAAGCTAATATAATGTTATCATTTATTGAGAGGGGAATTAATGATAAAAGCAAAAAGATTATGATTCTTTTATTCAGGGCACTAGTGAGATCATAACTGGAGCGTTGTGTATAGTATTGGTCTCCTTCTTAAAAGAAGTATGTTTGTGTGCTGGAAGCAGTTTGGAAAAGGATTAGTGAACTGATACCTGGAATGGGTAAGTCTTGTGAGGAAATGTTTGACAGGTAAAGTTTGTATGCGCTAGAATTTAGAAGAATAAGAGGCGACCTGAATGAAACCTACAAAATCCTGAGGGGTCTTCCAGGATGAATGTGGAGAAATGCTTCTTCTTACGGGACACCAGGGTTCACTATTTAGAAATAAGGAGTCATTCATTAAAGACAGAGATGGAGAGAATTATTTTCTTGCACAATATGGCAAGTCTTTAGAATGCTGTTCCTTGAAAGGTGGTGGAGCAGGTCTTGGAATATTTTTAAGGCAGATGTAGATGTATTCAAGGAACTGAAAGGGTACCAAGGGTGAGCGGGAATATAAAGTCATTAGATCAGTCTTGGTCTAATTGAATGCCTTAATGGGCTGAGCTGCCTACTCCTATTCCTAATTCATGTGTTCGTACATTTATGGTTTAGAATGACTACAAACTTTGCGTCCTATGTTTCTGTTGGAATACTGCAATACATATTGGCCTGGAACTATAGCTAAGTTGCATGAGGTTTTTCACTGAAATAACCAACAGAGTGTAAAAGATTGAAAATTTTCAAGCCAATCTTATACACTGGTTCAAAATGGTTATTAAGGCAGCCTTCCCCCTCTTATCCTCTAAAATAATTAGCTATTCCACAGATTAAAGTAATCATTTTGATAAACCTCCTTTATTTCTGCCTGGCCTTTAAGGAGACTTGTAAAATGATTTTTTTTTGGTGCATGGGGCATTCATAGACAATATTTAAACATTTAAAAATATTTAAATATATTTATTCAAATACTGACTTATATGTGAATTAAACTAGCAAATTGTTCTGTACCACATTTTTAAAGGCATGCTGAAATATTTAAAATCAGTATACTTACTTATGGTGAACTTAACACTAATTTAAAACATTTTAGTTTGTTAGTGAATCGATTTTCACTTGAAATATTAAGTAAAACTCTACCAGTTTGCCATTCATAAAGATATCTAGAAGAAATTTAAACAAGATCAGAAATTGATGGAAAATCTCAGCAGATCTGAGTTCTGAAGAAAGGTCACTGGACCCGAAATATTAACTCTGCTTTCTCTCCACAGATGTTGCCAGACCTGCTCAGTTTTTCCAGCAATTTCTGATTTTGTTTTTGATTACCAGCATCTGCATTCTTTATAACACAGTGTGGAGCTGGATGAACACAGCAGGCCAGGCAGCATCAGAGGAGCAGGAAAGTTGATGTTTCGGCTCCACACTGTGTTATTTCTGACTCCAGCATCGGCAGTTCTTACTATCTCGGCAGTTCTTTGTTTTTTTTCTTTTAGAAATAATTTTAAATGTAAATTTGTTTTGAAATTATATTTTAAAACATAGCCTGGTTTTATTGGTTTGAACTTAGAACGTAGAATAGCACAGAACAGGAACAGACGCTTTGGCCCAAAATGTCTGTGCTGACCATGACGCTATTCTAAACTAATCCCGTCTGCCTGCCAATGGTCCGTATCCCTCTATTCTCTATCTGCTCCAAGTGTCTATCTAAATGCCTCTTAAACTTTGCTATCATATCTGCTTCTACCACCTCCCCTGGCCGCGCATTCCAGGAACCTACGATGCTCTGTGTAAAAAGAATTTTGTCATACACTTTTAAACTTTCCATCTCTCATCTTAAAGCTATGCCTCCTAGCATTTGACATTTCCATCCTGGGAAAGAGACATGACTATTCACCTTATCAATGCCTGTCATTCTTTTACATACTTCTACCAGGTTGTCCCCTCAGCTTCCAGCGCTTTAGTAAAAACAAATCAAATTTGTCCATTTTTTCTCATCTCTGATACAGTCCAATCCAGGCAACATCTAGTAAAGCTCTTTCACACCGTCTCCACACCCTTCCTGTAATGTGGCATCCAAAACTGTGCACAGTACTTCAAATATTGCCGGACCAAAGTCTTACATAGTTGCAACATAACTTGCCAGCTTTTATAGTCAGTGGCCTGACTGACAAAGGCAAGCATACAGTACATCTTTTTATCACCTTATCTACTTGTGTTGCCACCTTCGGGGAGCTGTGGATTTGGACCCCGAAATTCCTCTGAAAATCAATGCTCCTAAGGGTTCAGCCCTTATACTTTTATTTCCTCTTGCATTTGATCTCCCAAAATGCATCACTTTCAATATCTCCAGTTTCTGCCTAATACTGTTATAATTCACCCAGTTTAACACTTTCACCTGAAGATCAGTCCTATCCTTTTCTATAACTATCTTAAAACTTACGG